CCAGTGAAGGCAAGAAAATGCCCCATAGCCAATGGCTAGTAACTATAACCAATTAAGACAAAGCTTATAATCTGTGTTAAAAATGTTGTTCTTCAACATCTTGACATATTTCTAGATGGACATAAAAATTTTCAATTGCACTTCTTCTCATATCAGGAGTAATATCATGACTATTCTCTGTTTAAGATCATCTAAATCTCGTGGTTTAGTAATGTACGAGTATACCTTATTTTTTATGTAGCCCCAAATAAAAAAGTTAAGTGAAGCCAGATCAGGGTATCTACCTATCCAACGATTATTGAATACTTTAATTAAGTAATTTCTCACAATTATTTGAAAATGAGCAGGTGCACCATCTTGCTAGAACCAAACTTCATCAAATTCATCACCAGCTATCTTCTGAATTGCTGGAACTATTTGCTCTTGAGGTGATTCCAGGTATTTTGATCCATCTAAATTCTTGTAGATAAAAAAAGGTTCGACTATTCTATCCTTTAAAATACCTGCCCGAATATTTAATTTTTATAGGTACTGTGTGTGATGTTCACCTAGCCAATAAGAAACGTCATTGCTCCGATACCTGCAATTGTGACGATTGACTTCACCGTTGAAATGAAATGTTGATTTATCTGAAAAAACAATCAATGAATGAAAATCAGAATTGTGAAATATCCTTTCCATCATGTTTTCACAAAATTCAACTTGCCGATCTGGATCCTCTTCATTTATTTCTTGATGAAGGTGTCTTTTGTAGGGATGAAATTTAATTATTTTTAATTTTTAAAAAATTGACGTTTCTTCAATTTTAAGCTGTTGAGAGGCCTTTCTAATACTCAAATATGGCTCTTGAACAAAATATTGAGCCACAGCCACTTGTTGGTCTTCTGTGGTCTCAGTTTTTGGCCTTTCCGATTTTAAATGATTCATATTGGTATCAGTTTCTTTAAATCTCCTAATAGTTTTAGCAACAGTGGACTTACTAATACCTGTTAAGCCTACTCGAAAGGTTTTATTGAATAATTGTATCATTGCGTTGTATGACCTACAAAGATCACTCCAACCTCTCATCATTAAGAGAGAAATTATCTCTTGTTCTATTGAAGAAGTCATATGGAAGGTAAGAAAATAAATAACTAGTAACAAAAAAAAATAATGGCCAAAAACGACTTAACTAAGTACATTGAAAAAATTGTTAGAGGTTGCCGGAAAAATAACTTTTTTCAATTATGCTAAAAAGGACTATTGAAAAAACTAATCCCGCTAACACAATAATCTCTACTAACTATTCTAAAAAAAATTGTTTAAGGTAGAGATGCTACAAAAGTAACTTTTTAAATTATTCTCTAAATTAATTTCAATTTAGAAAACCGAAGCACAAGCCAAGATGATCGACAAGATTTTAGAAAATCAATTGAATTTCACACAACTAAGTGCACGGATGCTTTTGTGACCGTCGATTACGAGTCTCATGTCAGTTTGTAGAAAATGCGCAATCTATTGTAAGATGACGGATCCAAGAAGGCGGACAATATTTCTCATGACTTTAGTAATGGTCAAGGTCATGACTAAGTTATTCAGGGTCAAGGTTATTCTAGATGGAAAAAACTTTCCATATTCAGTATAAATTCATTATTTTGCATATCGCGACCTACAGATAGCTGACAGCACTAATTCTTTTTATTTTTTTAATAATCCTTGAGTTATTTACTGTAAAATTGTACTATTTGGGCATTTACTTTCATACCCTGAGTGATATGTATTACTATATCATTTGATTTATTCAATATACTATTGTCATAATACGTGTTATATTTTATGAATTTGCTGTGTTTCCAGAGTATCGTTGATAAGTTGGTTAACTTGGATATTCCGTTATTTTAACGTATTTTTCTATTTAATTTTTAAAAATTTCGCATCGTAGACGGTCAATAACCTAATGTTTCACTTTGTAATTTGTATTGTATTTTGTATTCTGGTAAGTAAAATTTGTATATGTTCGACTGTTACTGTTTTACTTCTCAGCTGTATGACTGCTACTACATTGATAACATGTGGCATCATTCCTATACTTGCAGCCTCTGCGGCTAAATCTTGAGCATTATAACAAGGACTTATATGAATTATATCAAAGACTTTTTTTTACTTTATTATATCACCACTTTTCAGTTAGTGGCATATCTTGGAAGAGCACACACCAAGTTTCAGCCAGATCGGCCAATTACTTTGCATTTTACATTCGTTTCAATCAAAGAAATTGAGTGGTTGTAAAAAAATGGACGAAAAAGAATTTCGTGTATTGATTAAACATTACTTTTTCAAAGGCAAAACACCTCAGGAGATTAAAGAGAAGCTTGATAAACATTATAATGATTGTGCACCTTCGATTAGAATGGTTTATAAGTGGTTTCAAAATTTTCGGAGTGGCCATATGAGCACAAAAGACGCTGAACGTTCTGGACGCCCTGTGTTGAGGTTACCATTTCAGAAATCATTGATAAAATCCATGATATGGTGATAGCTGACAGAAGAGTGAAGGTGCTTAAGATTGCTAGTACTGTAGGCATCTTGAGCGAATGGGTACATAATATTTTGCACCAACATTTGGACATGAAAAAGCTATCCGCTAGATGGGTGCCGCGATTGCTCACGATTGACCAAAAACGAGATCGTGTGAAGTGTTGCAAGAATGGTTTGCAGCTGTTCCAACAAAATCCGCAAGACTTTAAGCGTCGTTTCATCACTATAGATGAAACATGGATACATCACTACACTTCTGAAACCAAAGAATAGTCTAAACAATAGGTTACCAAGGGGGAATCTGCTCCGAAAAAGGCGAAGACAATTCCTTCGGCCGGGAAGGTTATGGCGACTGTGTTTTGGGATTCGCAAAGAATAATCTTCATCGACTATCTGGAAAAGGGTAAAACCATTACAAGCGAATATTATTCATCGTTATTGGATCGTTTGAAAACCGAGTTGCTAGAGAAACGTCCACGAATGGCCCACAAAAAACTCCTCTTCTAACACGACAATGCGCCAGCTCACGCCTCAGCAGTTGTGACCGCAAAACAGATGGAGATAGGGTTCCAACTCGTTTCACATCCCCCCTACTCTCCAGACTTGGCTCCGTCGGACTACTATTTGTTCCCTAATATGAAAAAATTGCTTGCGGGGAAAAGATTTTATTCAAATGAGGAGGTGATTGCAGAAACGAATGCCTATTTTACAGACTTGGACAAATCCTATTATTTGGAAGGGATTAACAAACTAGAGCAGCGTTGGATGAAGTGTATAAGCCTAAAAGGAGACTGTTGAAAAATAAAAAAAGATTTATTAAAAAAATCAAGCAATTTTAATTTTTGCACGGACTTTTCAAACGACCCTCGTATGTATATCTATTACCATAATAGTGAGTTTTCTTATTTATTCTATTTATATTTTAATTGATGATTGTAGTTTTAAGTTAGTGTCTTTTCAATAGTATTTACATTATATTCATTCATGTAATTAATTAGCATAGTGTAATTACTTTTGATTTGAATTTTTTTAATTCAAATAGTTTTGTCGTTTATTGGATAATGAACAGCCGTATTTTTCGAATTGATATTATTATTAAATTTAATAATTTATTAAATAATGAATAGCAATGATAATATAAATTTTATCAATTATTTGTTATTTAATAAATTATAAAATAACAAATACCAAGATAAATATCTTGGTATTCTTTTACGCTTTTTTTTTACAAAGCTGTGTTTTCAGCATATGTATTATTTTAAATATTTATATTTTTAATTTGTCTCTCTTTAACTAATAGTTATTTTAGTAATTGAATTTTTTCTTTAGTTTCTTTATATAATTCTTTTAATAAACTCTTTTAATTTTTTATGGCTGTAATTTATCAAATTCGTCATACGTTGTCTTTTGCATTTTTAGCCATTTTCAATTTTTTTCATGTACTATTTTATTTAGAATTTCTTGTTTAATTTGTTTTCTACTTACTAATTTTATTGTGCGATAAAGTTTCTTGCTTTTTGGTTTAGTTTTCCATATAATAGGTTTGAGCTTAGGGTGAAATTTAGATGTTCTTGAGAAAATTTTGAAAAAGCTATTATTTTGAGAAGTCACAGTAACTCAGAAAATAAGAATCCAGGTTTTTATGCAAGTGTTCGTGGATTCAAGCTCCGGGACTGTGAAGATTTTTAGAATTGAAATTGTCATACGTTTATTATCCTGATTCCAGTAATTCGGATTCTACCTTAAACTGCAGGTCCAGTCATGATAAGTATTAAACTTCTTCCTCCTATTTTAAAACAATGGTGTAGGTGATGGGTCTACATATTCATGACTATAGGGAACCAAGACTGATGCGTATAGGTAAGTAGTGACCTCTACAGCGATCCAGATGGACGTAGTTTTTGAAGTCACAATAATAATAATAATATAACAGTTTTCATGAAGCGGTCGACAATCAGATTAAAGAAAAGCTGAACAGTAGTTTAAGTTTATTCCATAGATAACTTTCGTTATTGATTACAATTATTATTATTGAGCAATGAAAGGTGAAATTTCATATTTCATTAACCTATGTCCTCTGCTTAGATATCTTATAGACTATGATATTTTTAGTCACGAATCGCCTTCAGCTCTATATAATATGGTAGATTTTTTTCTTGCAATTTGAAGGAATAGCCTAGGAAGGTTTTAGGTATACATTCCTTTAGGATTTGAGTGATAACTGTTTTACGGTCGCAATGGTTCAAGTTATACAAAAATTATTGAGATCTTCAATATACAATCCATGAATTGGTCAAAGTTAGAGTAAACAGATTAGTCGACTTTTGCGATAACATTCTTATATATTTTTGGTAATACTTTATAATTTAATATTTATAATATTTATATTTTATAATTTTAATATTTAAAGATTTATGTCAAAAAATGCTTAGATACAGAAAACGAATAAAGATTTAAAAATGTACTGATAGTGAATTACTTACATCTAGTCTGCAAATTTCTTCTCCAATAGCTTTTACGTTTCTACAAACTGATGACTGGTAGTACTCAGATAATCCACGGTATCCGTATTCCTTGCCCATTATCTGTAAAGAAATAATAACTCTTACTTCCTATATCAAAATATAATTAGTATACTTTGTTATATTTTTATAAGTATTACAGAGTGAATGTATCCAGGTTCTGTATTAGTTTTCCAATTTTAGAGGGTTATTAAATATAATAAACGCACACAACTTTCTAATTAGTAATATATCACTTCCAACTATAGCTAAATGATACAGCAAAATAATAGTTTTCGAAGTAGCCAGTCAATTTCATAGTTATCGCGTGAAAATCGCATAAAAACGTCAAATTAACTAACGATCACTAGTTTCTTTATCATTTCGTCGATTTTTCCAGTCGCTGTAATTTTTAAAATGTGTACCGATAAAAACAGTTTTATAATGATACATACACTATAAATAAATATTTAGAACAAGAAAAAGAAAATGTAATATGCATGAATATTAGAAGTATTAAGCCAATTATAATGAACTGCTAACTTTCAATACTCTAAAAAATAAACCTGGTATTATCATATTCATAGAAAATTGGAATGTTGATTATCTTCCGATATTTCAAATTGCAGGCTACAATATGTACTACAATGACAGTAAAATAAATAAATCTGATGGAGTAATAATATATATCAGAAATGATATAAAAGAAAACACAGAAGTAGTTCAACGTAACAACCTTAAAATATTAACTTCTAAGATTACCATGGAAAATAATACCAAGTAACTATTGTCAGCCATATACAGATCACATGACATGCATAAAACTGAATTTTTAATGAACTTGAAGTCATTTCTAAAAACTAATACAAAAAACAAAAGTGCAATTATTGCTGGTGATTTTAAGTACAACATCCCAAGTGATGTCTTAATTAATCAAAAATTTCTACGAGTCCTAGTAGAAATTGATATAGTCCAGGATTTAGTAGCATTACTCGACAGTCCTTAGATCATAACAACAAAGGTACTTGCATTGACAATATATACATACAATTGGAAAACTCAAATCACAGGACTTATCTACTTACAATTCCCCTTAATGATCATTATCCGCTTTTAATGTCTCTGGATTGCTTTAATAAAAATATTGACCCACCAAAACAAAAGAACAATATTAATTTTAAAAAACTGTTAAATACCGTCAAGACTATTCATTGGAATGATATTTCATCTATAATTGATCCGAACATAGCAACCAATAAATTAATAGATAACATACAATATTGGATTAAAAAAGCCCAAATAAACAGCACCACTCCAAAAAACAACAAGCAGATGAAACCAAAAAAATCATGGATAACAAAAGCAATGCTTCTTTTGTTTAAAACTTAAGAAAAATTCTACAAATTTTGGTGCAATGACCCTAATAACATAGATAAAAAAGAAAATTATTAACAGTATGTCAAACTCCTCGACAAAGGTATCGGCAAAGCTAAAGAAAATTTTGATAAAAAACTGATTGAATCATCTCTAAATAATCCAAGAAGAATATGGTCAATAATAAATAATAAATTAGGTAAAAATACAATAAAAACCAAAACTATTAATCATATAATTGATAACAATACAAAAAGAACGGATTAAAAATAAATTGCGGATAAAATGAACAAATTTTTCTATAATATACGTAAGGAACTAAACAATAGAATTTCTGCTCGACAAAATAACAATATTACTATATCTACTGTGAACCCTATAAGTTTATTTCTGTATCCAACAATCAATCATGAAATTAATGAAATAATTATTAAAATGAAAAACAAAAATGGAGCAATAAATAACATCAATAGTACTGTCCTAAAAATTTCGATAAACTTTATTACTCCACTAATTGTTAATATAATATGTGACGGTAAACGTCAAATTAGCGCTGATAATCTAACTTAATTGCTGCATCTGAGGGATAATCTAACTTAATTGCAGCACCTGCCGGGGAGACGAAAAACGTGACAAAGGAATTCGGCACGCGAGCAGACGGAACGCGCGCGATTGAATTCGAACCAGTGAAGCTTAGACCACCGACACGCTCGTCCGCTTTTGTTTGTTTGCCACTACCGATCCACTGCAGTTAACGCCAAAGAAAATCGAGAGGACGCCCGTTCCAGTAGTAGCCACAGCCATTGCTATTGTCAAGGCGTCGTTCAGCAGCCCAGGAGAGAGACCTGAGCCAGCGAGGAAGCATAGACCTCCAGGAGACCGGTAGAGTATGTGCGATTTCGCCATCGAGGGCGAAACCGTGTGTGCGCGCATTCGTGACCTGCGATAAACGGACAAAAACAATTCCGCGCAGTGTGTGACTGTCGTTTTCTCCGTACGTCTGCAATAACAAGGTAAGCTGGCCAGCTTAATCTCGCGATCGCGGTTGCATGGTTAACAAATAAAGTATCGTTTCCGAAGCGTGCATGTAATAGCGATATTGACAAAGCGCAGCGAGCGTCCCGACATTGTACGTTGTCGATGAGCGAGCGTCGATGTAAACAAACGCGCGGGCCGACTTTGTGTAGTATTTGAGGAATAATAAAAGGTTTAGTCCGCATTACTAACAAGTGTTTTTCCGACTCGCTCACACCTTACAGCTTCCACTCCATTGATTATAGGTTATCAAGAATTATTGGTTGACTGGCGCCTGTCTTCACATGCTCTCCGGACCGCATTTTGAGCATAGATAATTACTTCCGCCCCTTTGATTTAATTGCGCGAATAAAATATAATTAAACGGTTTTACCCCGTTACAAATAAATGCCAGCATTGAAACAGAAATGTGGCCAAATGCATTAAAAGATGCTGTAATTATACCGATCCACAAAGCAAAAGAAAAATATCGACTATCTGCAGACCAATATCTCTGATCTCCAACGTTAATACGATTTTTGAAAAAATTATTCGTTAAAGACTTACGAAATTTATATACCATTGCAACTTAATATTAAGCAAATAATTTGGTTTCGAAAAAAAAAATAAAGGAACCAAAATGCTCTCCAGTATATATCAAATTTGATTTATAAACAACTGGATCAAAAACAAATATGAACAATCATTTGGATATAGTGGGAAAATGGTTAACCCTTAATAAGCTGTCACTCAATATTGATAAAACAGCTCATATTGAATTCGGTAACTACTGTAATAGTACACTTAAAAATTTGAAAATAAAAACACAAGGTATGACAATACACAGAGTTTAATACATTGATCTAGGAGTATCTAGGAGTGTTTTCTGATAGTAACATGAAATGGGAACTTCACTTGTAAGATATCTACAAAAGGACCAAATATTTAAATTCTCTTTTTTACAAATTATCAAGAATAATGAATTTAGATACACTAAGGATAATTTACTATACACACTATTTCACAGCATTTACTCCTATCCGATAATTGCATGCGGAGGAGCTTATTCAGGTTAAATTAAAAGATTACAGAACCTAAAAATAGATTACTGAGAATAGTTAAGCAAAACCATTTCATATCGGAAAAAACAACGATTAAATATTGACCAAATCTTCTATCTAGAATTACTATTATTCTACAATGAAGTTTTATCTCATATGTATAGCGTAAAAGATGAAAAAACTAGTTATAATAGTATACAATAACCTAAAAGAATAAAAAGAATTAGTATAAAAACAGCTTTAATAGAGCTATTATACTCTACAACAATCCACCAAGTCATCTTAAAACAATGGCCAACAAAAATAGTATTAAAAAAACATTAAAACAATGGATCGAAAGGAATCCCTGAAACTGGAGTTTTCGAAAACCATACTGCATAAAATCGATTTAAAGGAATCAATCAGTCATTAATCACTATGTTCAAAGATTTTTTGTATTCTACTTTGGATGTCCATGAGGATACAAATCTCCTTAACAAAATTTTACTGGACGTTATAACATATTTATGTGCCCATAGTTTTTGCCACTTTTACAATAGATTTTTTACATAACAGATTTAATTAATACATTTTTAGAATCACGTATTGACTTTACAGACACTTTAAAAATCGATGCAAAATTAGACATAAAACCCCACACTGAAAGTATTAAATATATTCAATTTCTGAAAGCCACAAGTTCAAAATCAGAATCTGAAGCATCCAATCATAAAGGAAAATACGAACCCATCAAAAGTGTTTTTGATACTATTGATAATATAGCTGTTGAAAACACTAACAAGATTTCAATGCAAAAGGCACTACCAACCCCTAGAAAACTATTACAGTCTGAAAATTGTATTAGGATAATCTACGGGGACATTATCTACCTGGAAAATAACAAAGCTCTTCTTTATTTTGATAGAAGAACTCGAGGAATGTAAACTTGCACTAACTCAGTTTACTCACTAAAATTTCGACCAAAACACAAAGACCTAATAGTTGTAGATGATGCAGCTTACTCACTAAAATTTCAACCAAAATATAAAGACCTGATAGTTGTAAATAATCCACTTGCAATTGCACCAATATTATACATCAAAGTATGTTCCCATACTACAGGGAAACATGTACGATTGGATTCACTTGTTCGGCCCGTCTACATAAGATGGAAAGGAAAATATATGTAAAAGAGAAGAAAGCAAGCATGGAATACTACAACACATCTAGACAGATGCTAATCAGATTCTAGTGAAGGAGATAGTAATAGTAAAGTAGAATATTTAGATTATATTTTTGCTGCTTAATATGGTAGTATTCACTGTGAAGTTTAGGCAAGCTGTATAATTGTTGTTTTTTATAACTAGTATTTTCGTTAGTTTTTAAGTTTTTAGTCCTTCTTTTCTTTTTTCTTCTATAATTATATGCTAGACCATCGCATAGGTATATATTTCCTCTGATGGGTTACAATATTATGTAATATACGTATGTATTTTGATAACTATGTAACTTATGTACGTACTCTGATAATAAATAAATAAATAAATACTATAACTACTGGTTATTACTCAAATGTAAGTCTTTTTGTAAAATATAGCACATTATACAGAATATTATCAAATAATAATGGTATATCTGAAGCCTGCTATGGTTTAT